CACGTATCCTTGTCAAAAAGAAGACATGGCCAGCAAATTAGACGCTGAAGTTTAGCGCTTCCAGTTAGCCACTCCGTGCAGACATAATTGTCCTCATTGAACGTCCGATTCTCTCCCTTTTTCCTCTGCGTACACACAGCTCGAGTGCGGGCATTGGCCTGTCATCTGATTTAATTTGTAGTTGCTGCTGTAGCGGAAGTTTAGTAAAGTTATGTTTGATTAAGTACGCCAAATCTCCACCCTCCATAATACTTCATTTGCTTGATAATTTCTAACGGCGGTGATGACAGTTACAGTATTAAAACTGATGTTGATGTGATTTGATTGGATGGCAGTGTCCAATCAAATCGCCAGCCGCCAGCCGCCTCTGAAGGGAAGCAAGAGGCGGCTAGCTTCCCTTGGCATGGCCCTGACCAATCACAGGTTGGCAGGGGCATCACGTGGGCCTCATCTGATTGGTCAATCCCTCCATTTTTTTTCACCAAGGGAAGCTAGATTCGGCTGGCCTCCTCTCGCAACAGTGAGTGCAATCTACTGTTTCACCATAACATCTAGAGGGGCGCTGTTTGTTTCACTCTTTGTAAAATACTCAATGAGAATGGGGGAGAGCCGGGCCGGCAGCAACACACAGCAAAGGAGAATTATCGAAACAAAACAAAGTGTTTGTATTTATTTATTTAAATTATAACTACAATCCGAAAAAACAGGGGAAGCCTGGCTTCCCTTGGCCTCCGGGAGAAAACGCCACTGGTAGAGGGCAGGGTGGGTACCTTTTGTTGATGCTTCTGAGCACAGGGATAGGGAGTTGTATAGGCTTTGAGTTCCCTGGCTCCTCATCATGTCCATCAGAGAAGACATATGGATAACCGGGTAAACAGTCTGACAGTCTGTGTGAAACAGAGGTGCCCAGTACGTCGACCGCGGGGGCAATACTGGTAGATCGCGAGTCATTCATAAAAAAAAAAAAAAAATACAGCTCCGTTAAAATAGACAAAACAGGTTTTGATCCCTCCTCCCTTGGCCTCCCTGCCACTTAATTCAGGAGTTTACTTGATTGACAGAAAAAGCGACCTATCGCTTTCCAATCTGTTAACCCAGAATGCAAAGCGATACAAAAGTGCCGGGAAAATTCAAATTAAGTTAGAGACAAGAGACAAACAACAAAATGAGTGCGGGACCGAGCAAGAAGCTAAAGACAAACCACTTCCACCCAGAATGGGAGGAAGAATATATTTTTTTAATGTCACATTCAAAGGTTATTATTAGGGCCGGGACTTTAACGCGTTAATTAAGATTAATTAATTACACAAAAATTAACGCGTTAAAAAAATTAACGCATTTTAATCGCACTTATTTTTGCACCGCGGAACGTTTCTCACTGGATGAGTTTCAGGCGTACCGATTATACTGGAGCACCAACTAACGTTCATGACTTCAGACAACAACAAACCACAGTGAACAACAGTGGGAAATGTTGTTTTAAAAAACGGACGGATGGAAGCGTCGATAAGAGCACGGTTGTGTGCAAATTATGCAAAAAGGAATTCGCATATCACCGCAGCACATCAAGCCTCAAGTATCACCTCAATGCAAAACATATAGCAGCTAGCGTGGAAGCTAGCGTGGACGTTAGCCTCTTTTATCGCTTTCACACCAAAAAGAGCCGGTACTCAAATTAGTTCATGAGAACCTTTTTACCCCCACGAAAGTCCCTGCTAGAGAGCAGAGAGCTGCTAGAGAGCAGGGACTTTCGTACGGCTCTCTTGTGAGAAAAGAGCTATATTTCTGATTGGCTGGGCGGATTGCAAACCACGCCCCGTAAAACTCCCAAAAAGTTTTGTGAAGCCGCCATTTTATTATCCTCGCATTAGCATTATTAGCATTAGCCCAGCGCAGAAACGCAGAGAGACTAACTTATGGCAACACAAAATAAAACATGGGAGCGGTGGAGATGAGGAGGTGTCGGCGTTCTGGCGATTTACTCGGAAGGCTTCAGTAGAAGCTGCTGGGACTCCCAGCAGCTTCTACTGAAGCCTTCCCCAACTCCGGGGACTTCCGGCCGGGGACTTTGGGCGGCAGTATACGCCGTGAAGTGATTTGCGGCCTGCCAGTAAACCCAAAGAAGAAGAAGAAGAAGAAGTAACGTCAGCGGCTTCATTTGCCTAATCCACCCCCAGGTTCAAAGAGTTCTCATGAACCTTTGTGGGAAAAGTACTGCGGTGTGAATGCGCCTAATGGTATACTAAAATCCATGTGAAAAAAAATTGCTTCTCACTGTTCTTAGGTCAAATATGTATATGCGATTAAAAATGCGATTAATTTCGATTAATTAATTACAAAGCCTCTAATTAATTAGATTAATTTTTTTAATCGAGTCCCGGCCCTAGTTATTATGTGTAAAGCAAGCGTCGCTCTGCCAAAGAAAGGTAACGTGGAGAGGCATTATCGGAGTGTTCACAAGGCATATGACAGCGACTTCCCTCCGAGTAGCGAGTTATTGCCGCTGAATAACGTTTATTAGGGAATGTTTAAATAACCACAGACACCAGAATTATATAATTTAACAACAGAAAAAGGCAGGAATTGCATTGGACCCGCCCCCCGACGACGCCGGCCAATAGGAGAAGACCTCAGATGACAACAGGAAGAGCAAGCCAATAATTGATCTCTTCCACCTGCTGACCTGGACTGACCGGTCGGATGAGGAGAGCGCCTCCACTCGCACATTTCATTTTGTACACCACCGCATCTTTTGTGTAATTAAATGCTGTTAACTTTTACAAGCTTCCCTTGACTCTTTTCAGCCTTCAGGGTTCTAGAATAGACTAACACTACAAAAACATTATCTTGCAGTCTTAGTGTCGCCAACTAGTTTCTAATATGCAAAAAGACAAACAAATGCGTCTATGGTCGGTGTATTTTTGATCTTTCCAATCCAGACGAGATCTCTCTCCCCCGTCTGTGTGCGAGGGGGCGGGGCAGTTTACACACACACAGCTGCTACATGCAGCAACACACGGAGGAGATGGCGGAGAGAAGCGCTCCAAGGTGTGGTTAAATGTTACCCGACAATGCTCCTTGCCAAGAGAGTTTAGCATGTAAGGGCGGTAACACGAGCAATTTGTCTAAATATTTATCAAAAGTGCACCACATCCAAACGGAGGAATGCACCGGGCTCGACTGTCTTTCTAGTAGCTCTGTAGCCCCCCCATCGGAGTTAACTCAATTATACAAACATGGGTTAATGATTAGAGGTAACAGAGTTACTCTTTATTTTGTTAACGTTTCAGCTATTCTGTTTACAGTTCTGACATATAATACGATTTGTTAAAACATTGTTGTTTCTTTTGATGTGAAATATTATTTATTTTATTTAAATAAAAAGCAATGTTAATTTTGTTCAGTTAATTTAATAATATATGTATTTTTGAATCAAGTATTCATCTTTATTGTCTTCATTGTTAGTTTCCACATGCCTAAAACAACCTCAAGCTAAATCTAAAAGTTGATGGCTAAACAAGAGGGTTTGAGAAATTGTGCAAGGCATAATAGTCCGAATAGTCGATTAATCGTTTAATTAATCGATAGATTAATCGATTATCAAATGAGTCGTTTGTTGCAGCCCTATTATCCCATGTATAAATAAAACGTGTTATTCAGCAACCCTTGCAATTTGGGATTTTATTTTTGGTTGGTAGACCTCGGTGATCTGGTCATTTCAAAAGTAGCTCACCAGCCAAAAAAGTGTGGGCACCCCTGGGGCCCTTCTCACTTCTCTTATTTTTCATTTCCTCGCTCCTCGGTCTCGGTCTCAATGGAAGTTGATTTGTCTGTGCCATCTTGAGTAGCGTCCCAATGGCCTTATTTTTGCCGGAGGATCGAGGAGCGAGGATCGAGGAGCTATAACCGAGGAACCACCAGACCATCCTTCGATGAAATCCTCAGACACTCGCCCCGCTCCCTTACTGTGTATCGCTCACTGATTGGACGAGGCAGGGCATGCACTGATCTGATGCTTCTTGACATGAGAGCAGAGTGAAGAAAATACATGAACCTTACGGGAGTCACTCCTCAGTTTATACCGTGTTTTGTTTCAATTCATGTATAATTTAGTTACAAATATGTGATATATCTGAACAACAAAGTGGTCAAAAATCATTTTATTCATTTTTTCGAAATATTTTCATGATCGCTTTTTTCGTTTTACATTTTCATTTATTGTCATTTCCATTCAGTCAGTCATTAAGTGCTATTTAAAATGTTAATGTGCTAGATATCCACACAAACAAACAAAGTGTGCAATCCAATGAATGTTAATCTAACTGGGTTTTGATAGATAACATATCTCTTTTTCTTCTCTGAATTATTTTATTTATTTTGTGCACTCTAATCAATATTAATCCAACTAATGTTCGTTTATACATTTTAAGAATGGCGTTTCTCTTTTTTGAGAATTAGTTCTTATTTTATTTATATGGGTCTACAACAGATGATACAAATGTTTGTGTCAGTAAATGTGTACTAACAGAGGCGGGGGGTGTTTGTGGAAATAACGGGGACAGATCATGGATTGCTGGCTGCTGTCAGACGATCTGCTGTGCAGCGTCATCACAAACGGACGTCGCTTCACGTGACACTCCGGAGGAACTCTTAAAACTAATTTCCCTGCTTCTCGTGGTTTCCTTGCATCTCTCCATGCTTCCCTGGTGGGAGGGACTAGTCGCAGGGAAACGACGCAAGTGAGGGACGCAAGGAATCCATTTAACTGAAGTGAGAAGGGCCCCTGGTGTGAAACATCGTTGTGAAGAGGTTTCCTTATGGGCCGCTGGGTGGCGTCAGTGAGCAGGATGGGGTGTGTATGTTGCAATGAAGAAGAGTTACCATCAGTGACCGGTGTTGTGTCCAGGTGGCGCTGGTCCAGGTCATGGTCCAGGTATGCTCCAGCAGATTGTCATGTGCGTTTGGCAGAGGAGACAGCGTGAGCTATGGCACGTGTGCCCCATGGAGTGCACTGTAAAAGTCAGTAAGGCTATTGAAAGTCATATTTAAAACATTTGTGTTTGCATACAATGACTTTTTAAATTAACCTACTGGCAGCATTTAACGATGATTATGTACCAAACACAAATCATTAGTATAACAATTAGGTTTAAAACTAATTTGAGAGGCACTGGAGCGCGGGAAATATTACGAGGGGCTCGTGAAGGCATCACATTGCAGCCTACAGTTAAGGAAGCTCGCGCTCACTACAGAGGGCTTCAGTCAGCGGAACAGGAGCACTGCAGGTGTGTGTGTGTGTGTGTGTGTCCTTTATGTGTGTCAGAGAAGCCGTGTGTGGGTGGGTGTGTGTGTGTGTCTGTCTGGACTCACTTTTTCTTCAAACTAATGTAAAGGATCTCCTCGGATGAAGCCGTCTCCGCGGTAAGTCTGCTGTAACACTTGGAGCTCAGTACTGTTAGTCAAGTTCCTCTCTGGGGATTTCAACTCCTTATTTGTGTGATACGGTTGTCATAAGATGAGTTTACTATAAAGTGAGCCACTGTAGCATTGAGTGTAACCAACAACAGACAGGTCTTACCCTCTGAACCTGTTTAGTTTGACCTTCACTTTTCTTTTCTAACGCTGTACACGTGACTTCATGGTTCATAAAGTCAAAAATATACCTTTAATATTGATAGCCTATTTGGACTAGGACATTCGCACATGTTCATCCTGTGTACCTACACAAGTATTGGCTTCTAATGCTAAAACTATACAATATTCAATTTATGCATGGACCTGGTTCTCAATAATATACAATCTTATGGTCAACAAACTTTTAATTGCTAATTTTATCAATGTTATATTATTGCAACTGTCAAGTACTATCTGTATACAGGATTGGTGTGGACATGTTATATAGCCTATTGTATAGGCTGGACAGCAAGTGTTTCCTGTACAGTGAAACGCTAGAAAACTAGTGCTTTGATTGGTGGTTCTCTGCTTGCTCAGTCATATTCTGCTTGGAGCTATTAAATGAGGTTAAACCGCACTGACACATGCTCTGTAATTGCAAGTCATCAATTTCTGACAGCGTGAGTAAAGGAGGGAGGGAGGGAGGTAGAAAAAGAGGGGATGTTAAGCTAATTTTTTCTTTTAATGTTTATTTTATTATCTTTTCTTTTTAATGACTGATTTTAAATGCGATTTTCTTAATGTCTTTCATTTTTTGTAAAGCACTTTGAATTGCCTTGTGTTGAAAGGTGCTATATAAATAAACGTGCCTTGCCTTGCCTAATGGGAGAAAATCCAGGCTGATATGAGGCTCCCCTCTGCTGAAGCATCTGCTGCATCTAACACTGGAGATAATACATGAACACACACACACACACACACACACACACACACACACACACACACACACACACACACACACACACACACACACACACACACACACACACAGGATGCTATGAGGGGCCGTACAGGCCGTAATTCATACTGGTCCTCTCACACACATACATTCTCCTTTTACATTCATACATTTTCACTAGGGATGCACGATATTGGTTTTTTGAAACCGATACCGATAACTTCCTGCTTCTCAAGACCGATAACACATTTTTTTTTTACACCACTAATTATTTTAACGCGATTAACGCATGTGTATTTTTTGTCCTCGGCCGCCCCGTAGTTTCAGAGCGCATCGAGTTTAAAATACCATCTACAAGCTGATGCTGACAGCCCCGCTCCTGCCGCCCGCTTGTGGCAGACCACACTTCCACGCTCACCGGCAGGCACCGACTGGCTGTTGGGAGGACCGGGAGGGTGTGTGTATGTGTGGCCCGAGGGAGCGAGAGAGAGACCTTACGTGCATTGTTGTTGTTAGCATCTGGTGCTAGCTAGCTGCGCTAACGGATATAAGGAGCTGTTTAAATGAAAACAGAGGAGCGACATTTCGCCACAACTGCGCCGAGCACTTGACTTTATGCAGGAAGCCAGACAGTGGGACATTGTACGAAAAGTCAGCACACTCAGCACGGATAGTGCGCAACATAATTGCAGCGTCCAGGCAGCTCCGGTTCGAGCATATGCCTTGAGTTGCACATAGCTCCAATGCCCATACCACCGACGACATGTTTGTTTACTGTCCTGGCTTCACGGCCGCACACCATTTACGTCACAGCCAGGCATGAGTTAGGGAGCGCTGGATTTGTGAAGAACTCCCCTCTTCCTAAACCACTAATACCACAGTACTGGCAAAACGGGAGGAGCCGAGTGAAAAACAAGCGCCCCTCATCCCAATCCACCCACACCGCAGTATTTTTTTCTTTTTTTACCCAAAAAATATATTTTATATTATCGGGGCTATTAATACTGGTATCGGGTTTATCGGGATGACGTCATAATTCCTAAATCGGACCGATAATTATCGGTCCGATAATTATCGTGCATCCCTAATTTTCACTCTCATATACATATATATTTACACTCACACATTCATACATTCTGCTCTCATATTATCATATTTCAATGCACACATTCATACATTTTGCATCTCGTGCACATTCATTCAATGTTTACATTTAATATATATATTATAAATAATATATGCATGTCTGAAGACAATGTATGTATGCAAGAGAAGAATGCATGTATGTGGGAGATGAAGTATAGTGGAAACGGAAGGAGTATGGTTGAAACGGAAGGCAGGTCATTATCGCAGGTCATTATCGCGCGCTCAGAAGGTCGAGCGGGGCGGGCTCATGTTCAGAACTTCTCATTCAAATCAACATGATGGAGGGAGATTAATCCGTGTATCTTCGGACCTTTTGGGAGGGAGGCGTGTGGCGCAGTGGGTAGAGCCTTGGTGTTGGGACCAGGGGGTCACAGGTTCAAACCCCACTGCAGTCAGCATGTCGTTGTGTTCCTGAGACACTTCACCCTAAAGTGCTCCTGTCGGGATTGCCCACAGTATTGAGGATGTTGGTCGCTTTGGATAAAAGCGTCTAACATGTCATTTGTTTTTCTTTATTAAACAAGTATAGTATAGCTGTATAGTTTACATCTCCTAACAATGTTGACCATTTTAGACATAGGCTTATTATATTTACATCCATTTTCTGGGCTCAATGTGTGTCTTCGCCGTTTTCGTTGTGATCGCTAAATTCACCTCGTTTCCCCTTGTTTATAATAATATCACAGTTCCAAGCAAATGAGTGCTTTTGTTTTGAAATCACATCCGTGAGTTTTGATCCGTGAGCCCCTCGCTAGCCCCTCCAATGACCATTAGACCAGTAAGGTAAAAAGCAAAAATGCCTCGCAGACGCTCTTCCGTTTACTTTAGAAAAACAAATGGTCCTGTCACGGTGTGTGAAGCAGGTAGGACCCAAATGCAGATTAAAGTGAAAGTTCCTTTATTTCAAGGCTAGGTGATAACACAGACAGAACAGAACACTCACCGACAAACTAGTCATGACAAAAGACGAACCGACAAAGACAGACAGAAAAACCAGAACTTAAATACACACAAGACTAATCACACAAACAAGACACATGTGAGGAGGGAGGAGAAAACACAGGGGCACCAGGTGAACACAATTGGGTAATCAGACACACCAGGGAAACTAACGACAGGGAACCACAGACAAATCCAAACAAGACACAACGCAGACAGAAACAGGCAAGACAGGAAGTGAAGACCTTTCAAAATAAAACATGAAACAAGACAAGACAAAACACCATAAAGACAGATCGTGACAGGTCCGAAGATACACGGATTCATCTCCCTCCATCATGTTGATTTGAATCAGAAGTTCTGAACATGAGCCCGCCCCGCTCGACCTTCTCAGCCAATCACAGCGCAATAATGACCTGCCTTCCGTTTCAACCATACTCCTTCCGTTTCCACTATACTTTCTCTCTCACATACATGCATTCTTCTCTTACATACATATATTGTCTTCATACATACATACATTATTTATAATATTAAATGTAAACATTGAATGAATGTGCACAAGAGAAAAATGTATAAATATGTGAGTGACAACGTATGAATGTGTGAGTGTAAATATATATGTATATGAGTGTGAAAATGTATGAATGTAAAAGGAGAATGTATGTGTGTGAGAGGACCAGTATGAATTACGGCCTGTACGGCCCCTCATAGGATGCATGAGCACATGCAAAGACATCAAAGACTCCAGGCGACTTGAAGGAGCCTCCTGCAGCTAAATACAGCGGGCTGATGCCTTTTATATTGCAAATCTCATTTGAAAGGGATAGAGTTAAAAGGCCTCATTGCTATTGATGACAGTGAATTGATTGAGTGGCATTAGCACTTAGAAACAACACAGAACAAAAATTGAGGAAAAAGTTAAGCAGCAAAAGATAAATGCCTTAAACGTATAATGTACTATTGTAAGATTTGTGTTATTAACCTGCTTTGAAGTAGGTTTCAGAGCTATGCACATTTGCATGCATGCATTGTGCACACACAGTGGATCAGCACATGATGGCATTCATCCCTATGATCAAAGCTGCCTATTATACCAACAGGAGTGTTTTTCTCTGCAGCTATATGAATTCAGATGATTGCTCTGTCATCCCTGATCACACCACTACTGTAGATTACTGGAGGCTACTGTTAGCAAGAATAAGAGAGAGAATAGTTGAAGGACGGACATGGGCACGAATTAAGCAGAGGAACACATTTTAGAGTATGATGAGAGGAGCAAAAGATAATCTATAATGAATAATAATATGCTATCTGGGGGAGTGAAAGAAAACATAGTGGCAGGGAAAAATAGAAGCAATGATGCGTCTGCAGTTTATTAGGGGTTATTTTTGGTTTTCTGTCAAATGAGTGGAAGGAGGGGGAGAGAAGATCTAAGCAGGTGCTACACAGGTGGTTATAGTTATGTCTCTGTTATAGAGATACATTCTTGGATCAAAAGACAGAAAACCGAGAAAATATTAGAATGGATTCAGTTTGATATCTTTTCCTATATTACAGTGTACAGAAACCCCAAATACAA